TCTTGAGCTCAATGAACCTTGGCCTGAATCAGAACTGCTGTTCTGGCCATCTTCATGACACCATTTTCGGAGAAAGAAAATGGTTTCTTAATAACCTGTGTTGAAAAATAAACAGGTTAGGTCTTCTTTCTAGTACTGATCATACTTTTCAGTTATTTTTCTTGCTTTGGGGGCTTTTTTTTCCTTTTCTGGTTTGTTGTGACTCCTGTGATTCACCTGGAAGATTGGCTCATGGATTGGCATGGATTGGCATGGATTGGCAGCTCTCATTCCGTTCTTGCAGAGAGAGAAATCAGATTTCTCTCAAGGAGAACCTCTGTCAGGTCCAAAGGCTGAACAGGAGAACAACTCCCAACCCAAGTGCCTTGAGGCTGGCTCTTGCCTTTGTTGCAGTGTGAACTCAAGGTACAACAGGAGAGCTGCTGTGACACAACAGCACCCACATCCTCTAACCTAAAATGTGGGAAATTTCAAATTCCACTTGGCTTTTTGTGGAGACAGTAGGTGCAACCTTGGGTTAGCAGAGCTGTCAGCAGCCAGGGCTCCCAGTGCACATCTCAGAGCTATCTTCCAGCCTGTGTTCTCTCCCACAAATCAGACTAACCCAAGAGGAGCTAAGTTATGTGTTGACCCTTTGAGTTAACGTTCCTTTTGGTGACTAAACATAGTTTGCTCCTTTGGTAGCTCCATCTACAGCAGAATAAAAGACTTTTATTTATTTATTTATTTATTTTAATCTTATGGAGAAAACTGCTGTCCAGGAACTTTTAGTCACTTCTGTCTATATTAAAGGAAAGCTCTTCACTCACCACTTACCCCTCCAAATCTTTTCCTGCCAGAGATATTTTCTAGATTCTTCTTTACAGTTTCCTTTTCTTTTGGTCATGCTGTATACCCCAGGTCCAAATTCTGCACTCAGGATGAACTTTCCGTTCCTGGGTGTGTCTCTGCCTCCCACTTGGCTGAAGCCTGCCACTTCAGCAGAGCCCATAAGCTGAGCCACAGACCATCCTGCCCAATATCAATCCTTCTCCTTTGGAGTTTGCCTGGCAGCTCTGTTGTAGATGGAAGGATTGAAGGACACTCCCCTTTGCAAGGTATTTTCTCTGTGGCTCAAATATGTACGTGGTGTTGAGTCTGCATGAGCAAAGATTGTTCCTCAGAGTGGTGGGTACTCCCTTGGTAACAGGGTCAGCAAAAGAGAAGAAAACTGCAGATTCTTATGGAAGCAAATAGAGGTTTAAAAAAATAACTGTTACTTTTCTCTAGGCAATATTGAAATATTGGTGAGTACACAGAACAGCATGTATTTTCTGTTCCAAAACCCCAGTAAAATATCAATATTCAGATATTTCTCCAGAAAGCACCACACCAATCAGCATCCTGTCACTGTCGCCTGACCAAAGGAAGGCTCTGAGCTCATGGCCGTGCCTGTGCCCCCACAATGTCACACTGCTCTGTGCCCTGAGTCCCACAGAGCCCTCATCCCCTCCCAGCTGCCCAGAGGCCCCACTCTGGCCTCCTGTTAACCATCACTTTCAGCTAAAGGTTAATTACTCCAGGGGACATTTCCATCCAAGCTGTTGCCCGCAGGTTGCAGTCCCTGCCTGAGTCCTATTTTTAGACCATCTCCTTCCTTGCTATTGATCCCAGTCACCCTCTGTTAATTAGATACACACAACACACACAGCATTTGCAACTCATTTATCAATTCTGTTCAGCACCTCCCTCCCCTGAGATGTAATTTGGAGCCCTCCTTGAATCACGCTATTGATCTTTCCCAGCAACTTTGCTATAGGATTCTGTGTGTTGCAAACTATTTATAGATTCCTCTTCTCCTGCTCTCCCTTGAGGAATCAGAAACGGGCAAAGGTAATCAGACTTCTATATTTAAGGAGTTGATCGAAACCAAATATTTCCTCTTTTCTCCATCTTTCCCCTCCTTCCCTTTGTTGCTGATCTGTACACACTTCTTTTGGCAGGTGAGACCTTGCTCCATGTCGTGCTGCAATGATTCTCGTAACTCTCAGGTGATGTGATTCAGAATTTGCCCTGGGTGAACTCTTGTTTGCTGAATTGATGGAATAAATTCTTCCTCCTCCCTGCATCCACGAGTTTCCCAAAGGGCCTTGTGACCAGCTTCATCCACTCAGGTTGGGGTGCACCTTTTAGAGGGCTTCAGTCCTGGAGATTGACTGCTCATCTGATCCACCTACAAGGCACTAGGTTCCCTTTGCCCCTCCATGCCTCAGGAAGGGTATCCAAAGGCTTTAGGCCAGGAGTGAGACAGAGGAAGTTGCTTTTATGGATGGAGAATTACAGTAATGAGCCCTGTGGTCCTAGGATTTGCGAAAGACCTAAACCAAGGGAATGTAACCTGAGGCTCAGAGAAATCAGGACCAGCTCATCCTTCACTGGGTAAGGCTGAAAATCCCAGCTCTAATGCAGGAGGATGCCTGAAATTATGAGCAAGACAACACGAGGAGGGTCAGCCTTGTCTCAGGGAGTACAAAAAAGCAGCCTCAGGCTCCTGTGGTAACACCTGATGGCAAATGAGAGGCAGGATGTGGCTAGGGAAGCTGAGGCATTGCAGCCTCCCCAGGCTGGTGGCTCGGGAGCCGTGGGGCTGGGGATGGACCCTGTGGAGCCAGGCTGACTCCTCTGAACCATTGGGAACATTTTGGTGTGTGTATGTAGGTTGCATGCAACGAGTACAGAATCACAGAATGGTTTCAGTTGGAAGGAGCATTAAACATCACCCAGTTCCACCCCATGACATGGGTCTGAGTGCCTGCCAGTACTTTGGAGGTCATGCTGAGGCTGGGGAAGGGGCTTTGCTGTGTGGAGAGCAGTGGTGTGGCCAGGTTTTGGAGTGTGTGATGCTGTGGTGCATTTGGTGGGGACCTGAGGGAATTTTGATATGTGTGGCTGTGGCATTTGAGGCTGTGGTGTGCCGAGGTCTGTGTGTGTGGGGGGGGTGCCTGAGTGGAACTGTGATGTGTGGATTTCTGTGTGCAGGGAGTATCAGCACACAACGCGCAGGTGTGGTGAGTGACTGTGCTGTGTGTGACTGTGGGTTGTGATGCTTGGGGTGTGTAGGGCTGTGCAGGTGTGTGCATGGGGGCCATGGTGTGTGACACTGAGGGTGTGCAGGGCTGTGCAGGTGTGTGCATGGGGGCCATGGTGTGTGACACTGAGGGTGTGCATGGGGGCCATGGTGTGTGACACTGAGGGTGTGCAGGGCTGTGCAGGTGTGTGCATGGGGGCCATGGTGTGTGACACTGAGGGTGTGCAGGGCTGTGCAGGTGTGTGCATGGGGGCCATGCTGTGTGACACTGAGGGCGTGCAGGGCTGTGTGTGTGCGTGTTCGGTAGTGTGCATCACGGGGCGTGCAGGGGATGGTGTGTGAGGCTCGGGGTGTGCGGGGCTCTGCCGGTGTGTGTCGGTTCGGGCGGTCTGTGGAGAGACGGCGGTGCAGTAGAGCCCGCGGAGCCGCTGTCCCCCGGGCGGCGGAGGCGGCACAAATCCGTCCCGGCCGCTACGCGCGGCTCGGCTCCAGGGTGGGAGCGGCTCGGGGCTGTCCCTGCCGGGACGGCTCAGCCCTCCCGCCACCGCCCCGCTCGGCGGCCGGGGCGTGGCCGAGCCCGGGGAAGGGGGGCGGGAGCCGCAGCCGCGCCGGGGAAGCTCCGCGGCCGCTCCCTGCCGGGACGGCGCCGAGGGGGTTAAGGCGCTCCCCGCGGCGGGCCGGGGCGGGCTCCGCATCCCACCTCCCGCATCCCGCATCCCGCCTCCCGCGCCGGAGCGGGCACGGACACGGGCACACACACACGCTCACACACACACACACACCCGCACACACGCCCGCACACACACGCGCAGGCGATGGCTGCGGGGCGCGGGCTCGCTTCTCCCCGAGATGATGTCAAGAGCCCGGGAGAAGGAGGAGGAGGACGGTCGCTCTTTTTCTTAACGGCTTTGTTCTAAAATCATCCTAAATAAAGCAGCCCCGGTACCGACCGCCGTGGTAGCAGCCGTGAAAGTACCCTTTCATTTTTCCCTCCTTTTTGCCTCTTTTTCTTTTTTCATTTTTCTTTTTTTTTTTTTTTGTCTTATTTTTTCTTCTCGCCTCCGTCTTTGTGTCCGCCCGGGGCCGAGCTGCCCTCACACGCTCCCCGGGGAAGCCGCCGGCGATTCTCCGCTCCTCCCGGCAGCCCGCGGCCGGAGCCAGCGCCCGCCGCCGTCCCGCCCCGCCGCTGCCCCGGGCAGGTGCTCGGTCCGCGGCCGCCGCCGCCGCCTCCTCCCCGCCCGCCGGCCGGGGCGGCTCCGCGCCGCTCCTCCCGCTCGCGGAGCGCCGGCTCCCCGCCGCCAGGGCCACGCCGCCGGCCCGGCGCCCCCGCCTCCCGCCCGAGCGGCGGCGCGGCCCGGCGCGCCCGGGGATGCTGCCCCCGGCCCCGCGCCCGCCGCCTGACACCGCCGCCGCCCTCGCCGCGCCGGACGCCGCTCCGCTGCCCACGCCACGGCCACCTGCAGCAGCAGCAGCAGCAGCAGCAGAGGCAGCAGCAGCAGCAGAGGCAGCAGCAGCCGCCCGGCTCCCCGCCGCCCTCCGCACACCGCGGCGGAAGGAATAGAGCGCCCAGCCCGTCCCGACCCTCCCGGCCGGCGCTCCCGCAGGCAGCCGGGGCCGGGGCGGGTCGGGTACCCGACGGCCGGAGCCCGGGAGCCCTCCTCCCCTCGCCCCGCTGCTCCTCCGCGGATGGGCGCGCTGCCGCCGCCCGGCTCTCCCTGGCCCCGCCGCTCCGCCTGAAGAAACTTGGGACGGCGGCGGCCTCCGCCTCCCCGCCGCGCCCCGCCCGGGCTGCGGGCGACCCTTCCCCGCGCCGCCGCGCCAACTTCGCGGGGGGACCCGCCCGCCGCAGGACTCCGTGCCGGGGCCGTCGGCCCCTCGGCGGGGACCCCCTGCCCCTGGCCTCGGTGCTGGGGAGGAGCGGGGGGTGCCCTGGATGGCCCTGCGCACTGGAACGGCTTGGTTTGGGCAGGTCCTGCGCAGAGTTTCCCGGCTTCAGGGCACCTGGTCCCGGCGCTCCAGCAGCCTCCTGTGCCTCTCTTCTTCCCAGGAGCCCGAGCAGGCGGGCGGGGAGCGACCGCCGCCGCAGCACAAGCTGCCCCGGAGCGGCGGCAGCGGCGGCGGGCGCCGCCGGCCCCCCCGGCAGCTGCTGCCCTGCTGTGGCTGCTGCGGCCTGTCGGAACCCCGGGCGGTCAGGGGGGGACATGGTCCCCTCACTCGCCCCTTGCTGGCGGCCATGAAGAGGCAGAACGTGCGGACCCTGTCCCTCATCATCTGCACGTTCACCTACCTGCTGGTCGGGGCTGCCGTCTTTGATGCCCTGGAGTCCGACAACGAGATGCGGGAGGAGGAGAAACTCAAAGCCGAGGAGATCCGGCTCAAAGGAAAGTACAACATCACCAGCGAGGACTACCGGCAGCTGGAGTTGGTGATCATGCAGTCCGAGCCGCACCGCGCCGGAGTCCAGTGGAAATTCGCCGGCTCCTTTTACTTTGCCATCACGGTCATCACGACCATCGGTGAGTGACTCCCCTCGGGGAGACCCTGTGGGGCCATGGCCGGGGCTGGGGCAAAAACTTCCCGGGCTGGGAAAAAAAGGGAGAGGGGCAGGGAGGCTGTGGCGTGCAAGGGTGTCTGTGCTGGATGAGTCTTTTTTGCTTCCGTCCCGTGTTACATAATTTGATGCTCTTCTTGGGCACTTGTTGGACTTGAGGGTGTCCCGCACCTCTTCTCCTGGAGATGGATCCTCTGTCTCTTGTGTGACTGGAGAAGAGTGGGGCTGGTCTGGCTAGGGGCATTGGCTACCATGGTGCTGTGGCTTGGATGGAGAGGAAGAGAGTGGAAGAGGGTAGAGGCAGAGTGATACTCCTGGGGTTCCCCTCAGGAAGAAGGCCCTGCTGTCACACTCCTTCTTCCACCTTAAGAGACACGGGGAAAACTTGGGCAAAAAGCAGCCTGGAGGAGAATGAAAATGATGAGGGCATGGGAACTGGATCAGCTGGGAAAGCCCTTCATGTAGCCAGGCATGGGTAGATCTGCAAACTTTGTTTTGGAGTTGGCAAGGGCAGTGGTGGTGGTTCCCACAGCAGTGCTCAAACCCTGGGCACTGACAATGTGTTCCTGGAGTTTTTATTGCAACTGGAGCGCATGATGTGACAACAGGTCACAGTCTGCATTTCCCCTTTGTGGGCACATAGTCTGCCAGGCAAAATGATGCTGGCTGTCACATCCATGCTGCCCAGCCTCCCAGATGTGCTGCCTCCCAGGACAGTCAAGGGGCAGTCAGTGGACACAGCCACAGGCTGTCATTTTGTACTTCCCTGCTTCCCGCAGCTGAAGCTGAGAATTTGTCACAAAGTTTGTTTCTCTGCCATAAAAATAAATGCCACGGTGACTAGAGGCTGCGGAGTGCGCACAGAACTGTGCTACAACTCTAGCTTTGGCTGGATGAGCAGGTTTACTTGTGCTGGTTTGTGTTCTTTTAAGGTGGGTTTACTAAGGCAGTTGATAATGTTTTTTCTCCCAGAACTTCTAATACCTGTGGAGGTCTGAAGTGACCCCTCTAACTCAGTGGTTGTTTGATAGTGCATTATACATAACGGGACATGAAATTAGTTCTCTTGTTAATACATAAGGACTTGGTCTTTTTGCCATGTAGGGATTGTTATAAGAAATTTTCACAGTGCCACGGGAAGATACGGAGTTTTGAGCAGAACGTGCTGTCCGCTGCACTTTGAAAAGTGTCTCCTTATGTTTGTATTTGACTATATTGTACCTGGGGAAGTAAAAAATTTATTTTGAAAGACCATCTGACTGTATAAAGCCTATTTGCCCTTACAAAGATAAGATGTTTAAGGGTTAATTTCCTCTACCTTTCTGTTATTAGCTATATTAATACAAATGCATATATTATCAGGTTATAGAATATAAAGTAGAATGCAACTTTGGCTGATGATTTGTATTTCCCGCTGTTGGTTACAATGTCAGAACTCTCTTTCCTCCTTTGACCACTGAGTCTCTCCTCCTCAGCCTGTCTCTTGCCACTGGTGTGTGCTAAGTGAATGCTGTTCTGCTCCTCTGTGTTACAACAAGCCTTCCACACACTCCTGTGTACTCACAGTGCCTGTACTCCTGCCCAGGAGCTGCCTGCAGTACTTGCTGTGTTCTTAAGCTCTGTTGTTTGTACTGTAGTTTGCTGGTTTGATGGTATTTTACCCATAAACAAGTACAACCTGCATGGGAAGTTGTAGCATTTTCTCCTTCAGAGGGCTGGGATTTGTTTAGGAAGCTCAGAGTACCTCAGAATGCATTTCTGTAGGCAGGGGTGCTTTGGGATGTATGAATTGTTTAAATTTAAAAATGTGTATAGCAACAAGGAACCACTGGGAGGAAGACTGATAATAAAGAATGGTGCAGAAAGTTGCAGACATTCTGTAACAATTGTTCGCTTGGGAAGCTGTGCTCTGGGAGGATATCTGATCCGTCTTTCAAAAGTTTATTAATAGTTGCTCTCTGCATCTTGCCAAATGAAATTCTATTTTTTGTACCATCTCTTCAGTACTAAAGTGGCTTCATGATGTTATGTGATCTACAGCTAGTCTGTAAAAGTAAGCATGGAAGATTTTTCTTTAATTTCTTATTTATCCTAAACTAATTTGTCTCACGGATGGAAAAAACCCCAAAAAAACTACTTTGTTTAAGTTCTTAGAAAAATAAGAATTGTTATCTATGTTTCTTGTCCAGGGAAGTGACCTAAAATATTCATATTAATATTTTGTGCTGGTTGTTTCTTTTCAAATTTGTGTGTATGCTCTTTTCTCCCTCCAAAACCTTCTGGACAGACTTCCAGAAGCACATACAGTAGAGTGTGCATTGGTGAACCTGCTTTACTCAGTAGATACTCCAGCAAAAGTGTGTCTTAAATATCATTGAAGGCTGACCTTTAAAAGAGAGTGAACAAAGACCTTGCTTAATCTGGAAGGGTACCTCTATGTCCACAAAACGTCCCTTCAGACAAAGCAGTGATAAGAATCGGCGGACCACAAAGTTGAGCAAGATGCATATGGTTGCAGATTAATTTATGTCTAACTTAATTGTGCTCTGTGATACTGCCATGCTAGCAACATGTCTGGAGTGATTACCTCTTCGCTGTGCTGATTTCAACTACTGTGGTTCTAATTTAATCAAAGGTGTTCATGGTTGGCCATGGCCCATGAGTTGCCAGGAAGAGCTTGGTGCTTCTCTTCCAGTGCCAGGGGACAGGTCCAACAGTGTCCCCAGACCATGGAACAGGTGCCCCATTGCCCCTGAGACATGGGGCTGAAGGGACATCTCTGGCAGTGTCCCCAGTCTGTGGTGCTGAAAGGACACACACGGCAGTGTCCATGGTACTCAAGGTCTAAGTCTGGCAGTGTCCCCGGTGCGTGGTACTGGAGGGACAGCTCTGGCAGCGTACACTCTCCGTGGTTCTGCAGGGACAGCTCCGGCAGGGTCCCTAGTCCGTGGTACGGAAGGGACAGCTCCGGCAGCGTCCCCAGTCCGTGGTACTGAAGGGACAGCTCCGGCAGCGTCCCCAGTCCGTGATTCTGCAGGGACAGCTCCGGCAGAGCCCTGGGGCTGTGGTGCTGCAGGGACAGGGACAGCTCCGGCAGTGTCCCCAGTCCATGGTGCTGAAGGGGCAGCTCCGGCAGTGTCCCCGGTCCGTGGTGCTGAAGGGACAGGGACAGCTCCAGCAGGGTCCCCCGTCCCTGGTTCTGCAGGCACAGGGACAGCCCCGGCAGAGCCCTCGGGCTATGGTGTTGAAGAGACAGGGACAGGGACAGGGACAGGGACAGGGACAGGGACAGCTCCGGCAGAGCCCTCGAGCTGCGGTGCTGAAGGGACAGGGACAGCTCCGGCAGTGTCCCCGGTCCGTGGTGCTGAAGGGACAGCTCCGGCAGTGTCCCCTGTCCATGGTTCTGCAGGGGGAGGGACAGGGACAGCTCCGGCAGTGTCCCCGGTCCGTGGTGCTGAAGGGACAGGCACAGCTCCGGCAGAGCCCTCGGGCTATGGTGTTGAAGGGACAGGGACAGGGACAGGGACAGGGACAGCCCCATCGGAGCCCTCGGGTTGCGGTGCTTGGGTTCAGTTCCCGTCCGCCGCCGCAGCTCCGGACTCACCTCTTCGGACAGGTTCTGCCGCTTGTTGCTTGCCGTGGAATCGCATCATTAAAGATCTGTTTGGAAGGGACCATGAAAACCTGGAAATCTCCTGTGTGAGGCAAAGCACTGAGATTTGGTCAAGTCTCTCATTTCCTCTAATCTGTGGTATTTGGCTTTTATTGACGGATGCTTGGGGGTTACTGCTCACTTGTTAAGCTGAGTATTAAATTAAAAAGTGAGAGCTAATCAAGTATATGAAAACAGGGTTTTTTTTTTACCTGGGGCAGAACATGTGTTTCTGTTCCTCAGGTGCAATGTTCTTGTTCTTTCTTTCCTTTTCTTTTTTCTTTTTCTTTTAAACCAACACAACAATGGAAAGGTTGACAACAGCAGGTGCTACAACACTCGATGAGTCTGCTCTTAAAATCAATTAGCAGAAAATCCTCTCCCCCTCCCCTTCTTCTCCCCCAGCTTCTACAAAGTTTTGGTTGTGTTTGAATTGTGTAAAAGTTTTTAGGGGATCAAAAAGAGTTAATAAGCTTTTTTTGGCTCTCACCAGGTGCTGCATTCATTTCAGGACTGTTCTTGTTTCAGAGTGAGCTACTATGAATTCCTATCCATTTCCACTTGCACAGTCAAAATGATGAAAACGAGTGGTTTAATGAAGCTCTTCATCCAGCTATTTGTCTTTTATGAGATACGCTGTAGAATATGCCGCAGAGTTCATCTAAAGGCTTGATATTATGAATAAAAACACCACCTTCCAAAAACAAAGGATTATTTCTAGGATTTCTAGCAAGTTTTAATGCCCTTTTCTATAGGTCATTAACCTGCTTTTCTGTAAGCAGGTGTCAACACTGTCAAAATGTGGTATTGGTATGGATATCGCTCTATCATTTAGGGCTTAAAGGGTGATAGTTGTACTTGATTTAACGCCACCAAACTGTAGTAAACACTGGAGGCTTGTGCAGAATGAAAAGAACTGAAAGCTGCTTGTGTCACCGTAAACTGAACTGAAACAACAAACAGATTGATAATTTTTATTCATTTATTTTTTCCTGAGAAGTTACTCTAAGGGGAGCAAAATTAAGGCAGTGTGTGCTGTGAATTATGAGTCTCCTTTTGCAACTTTTAGGACTCTGTTTTCAGTTTTGAACCTACTATAAGCAGTGAGTGAGCTATTCAGATAAAATACTTTTTAAAAGAATGTTGTGCAATACCTGTAATGGTGAATGAACATCCACCTCTTGACAGCTGGTTGGCTGCTGAGTAGCCAAACACTCAGGAGCTGTCTGCATCCAGATGAGGACATTTCATACTTCTGGCAGATGGTGTCCTGACAGGGAGTTTGAACCTGCATTAATGAACTAAGCAAACAC